ATGATAATAACATTACAGCATTTGATTACCTAAAATATGAAACATATTTAATTGTATAATTTGAATTTAAAATGCCATTGTCCACATTCTAACTACTTCAGTATCTAAGCAACCTCGTACAATATTTTATCATAATGTGGAAATAAGATTTGGAAACCTTTAAAATATAAAATGTCAGGGCTACATTATCCTTTCGAACAGTGGGATCTAAACAGTCAGTACAGCTTGGCATATTTGCTCCGTTCATGATCTCACATCTACGCAAATAATTATAAAAGCACGTCACGATCAACCAAACAAAGCACGAGAATCTGTACTTTACTGAGAAAGTGTTAAACGAGACATAACATTTTTACATTTGACCACTTTCTAGGGGGCATTGTGTGTTCATGACACGATCAGTTGTTCAATTCACAACACAATGAACTAAAAAATGACCGTTATTCCTGCTTCATCTGTTGTAGTCAAGTCCATTAAAAGAAATCAGTGTGGACATAAAGGCATGAATTCCAAACTGCGCTTAGAATTCAAATTGGGGAAAAAATTCTATTTGCTCAATAATTAAGATTTGTTATTTCTCAGAATTCAGAGAAATTAACATTGCACTTTAACATTGCTTTCAGTGCAATAATGTAAAACTAGGCATTAATTCCTCTTCTTTATTGATCCTGTTTTCAGTGAAATACCAGTCATAACCACAAAGCGATGACATTAGTTATAACGACAGTATGACCCACCTTGAATTGGGATGAGCCAACATTCATAGCCATGTTCATACAATGCTTGGCCCTCAATCAAGGTACATACTCAAATGAACTCACACAAAGTGAAAGTCAATTCTTATCTTTTTTATATCACTATTTCATACCTCGAGGGATTTAGCGCTAGATCTATACGTCTGACTTTATGTTTATACTGACAGCCATACAACATCCAGCTGTATCGCGGAATAAAATAGTTCCACAAGAAGAGAGGTCACATGAGCGTGTGTATGCTCAACATGCTTTACATTAACATCGGTTGAAGTTTGATTAAAAGAAATAAGTTTAAGTAATATGATCATTTGGGTGTGAAAGGTCTGTTAAGAACTATCTCAGTAAGTCAGTCACAATGACAGTGCAATACATTTGACCCGTGAAGATTCGGGGTAGGCGACTATGCTTGTCGTAAGAAACGACTAACGAGATCGGGTGGTCAGGCTCGCTGACTTGGCTGAAGCATGTCATCGATCCCAATTGCGTGGATCGATATTCGTGATATCAATGACTGGATTGTCTGGTCCAGACTTGATTATTTACAGACCGCTGTCATGTAGCTCGAATTTTGATGAGCGCGGTGTTACAACAAACAAACAAACCAACGCAATACATTTACATGACGTCAAAATGGCCGACAGGATGAACGTGATGGGAGAGATTTCCGAAGTTGTTAATGAATCGCTGACGGTTACATGTGTTACTTATCATAGATCAGTTGGTCGATCATTGCATGAAAGGTGATTATACAGATGTGTCAAATAGACACTAAGGTAAATTCATAGATTGCTGTAGACTGCAACTGTCAGTCTAGACACGGATCGATACTACGATAGTGGATGTGCATTTCTACGTTTTGTTCACTAGGGTGGGTTGTAGTGAGGATATTTATGAACGATCATGCAGTCAAACTCTCTGACATTTCTCAATGTATACTAAAACGCAGAATCCGAGATCAAAGGGCCTAAATGACCAGAAATAACTCTTGAGTATGTATACGCGCAAAGGAATTCCCAGGGTTTTCCCCAGGAATGTGGAAGTAGTCCGTCAGTGTTTACGTCATTTCAAGAATACAGTTCCGTGAAAAACGTATGAATGTCAAATCGTGTCGTTAATACGGTTATGAACGTCACCTTTGCGGTTGTGTGACCGGCCTCTCTTCCAATGGAAAAGCCGTAGTTCGTGTAAACTTCACATTAAAAAATATTCTGTTGTAAGCATATTTGAAGAAGATAGTCAACTCAGCAATTATTTTGGCGCTCCTGTTTTTAAATGCTTAAAGCTCTCAATACCAAACAGTATCAAACAACCTGGATAAGAAAACCTATCACTTGTATTCTCAACAAACTGTTGTTGTTTTTTGCTTTGTTTTGTTTGGGTTGTTGTTGTTGTTGTTGTTGTTGTTGTTGTTGTTGTTTTGTGGGGGGTAATTATTATTTGTTGGTTTTCTTGTTTTTTTGGTTTTGTTTGTTTGTTTTTTTGGGGGAGGGAGCTATTACTTACAGATTGATTATGCAAAAGAGAAACACCCAAATAAATAGTGACTGAGTGAGTACGGCTCAATGCCAGTATCGCAGTTATGGACACAAAAGTTATATACACATGATATATTGTTCAAGTCATTGGCCTTTAAGCTGTTTGGTTTGTTTGTTTGGTGTTTCAAGCCGCACTCGCCAATATGCCTTTAAGCTGACCAGACCTGCAATTTTGCGAGGCTGTTAGTTACAAAAACGGAATTTAAATATGGTTACGTAAAGGGATAGAGGCCCTTGGTTGGTGAAATTGTTACCTTGTATGTTACGAAGCTTTGACATTTTGATTGGAAATCAAATATGGCCATATTGCAAAATAAAAATAAAAATGATAAATCATCTATAATAAACATTTTCACCTAAGAAACCACACATATTGCTGGATGCAGCCCCAAACAACAAATGATACGACAAACGAAAACATTGTCAGAAATAAATGTAAAGGTAAAGTCAGAGTGTCTAATTTTATATTCATGTGATTGCACCTGTCTTCCTGAATTTAAAAGTTTGTTTACAAGTCAAGTAAAATTTTATTTATAGGATTCAGGGCAGATACAGATGGTTATACCGTATACATCAAAGCACACAATGAGCAGCTCAACATTTCAGATGAAATAAAAAAAAGACTGAAGACTTGCACCCCCACTAATCCCGACCCACCCACTCCACTTAAACTTGCCTAAGCGTATACATAATTATAAATAGTTTCATATCTTGATCAAAATGCAATCTTTCTTTCATTCATTATGTGGTGCACACACTTTGCCAATCGAAAAATGACATTCCTGCGACAGTCTTGCATTAACTGAATACGTTTGGAAAGAAAAGGATGCACATATGAGTAATTTGGCAAATACAGCCGTCTTAACTCCAAATATTTTGGACACATTATTAAGATATGGTATTCGTCCTCTATATCAGTTTCACAGCCAGGTGGCATATACAGCCAATGGCACTATTTTGGTTGAGATATTACGAGTGTAATGACACAAATAACGTATGCATACAAGTTGATTGGTTTATATGAACCATGTAATAATGTTACAATGTATGGGAATATGGTTTCCAAACAAAGGAAAGAAAAATAGTATCTTTTGAGTTCAATATAATTGTAAATATTACAAAACATATTTATGGTAAAGTAGATTTACAACAGGGGGGAACATCTGTTTTTAATCATTATGGTTGGAGTGAATTTGTAATATAGAAAGGTGTACAGCAGTTTCGTGGACCCACAAAAAAGTCAAACGACTATTGAAAGTGCACACTTTATTTCTGTTACACTCTGACAACATATATGCAGGGCTAATAGCTTGAGCTTGTTGTGGCTCATCTCCCTGTAGCAACATAAACCTCACCATCACCACATGCTCACAGGGTTTTTATCTACATATATATTGTCCTTGACAAACCGTGAAAACAATAATTATGCTTCATAAGATCTTGTCTGCCACAAAAGTTACATTGTCGCAATATGTTTGTTAGATAACATATGTTGGCTCATACATTATAAAATATCAGCTGAAACTGACAAAATATGTGGTCTCCTCACAGACTTCCAGCCACAATATAAGTTTAACGATGCAGACAACGGCGTAAAACAACATCCAACAATTATTGGTCTATCATGCTTTTGCTGCAGCGTTTTACCTAGTTGCTATTCATGGACAATATTAATGCTACTGCTGAACAACCCTCAAAAAACCATTCTCATTTGTGACGCGGTGCATACTCCCTGAATGCTCGTCGACTTGCCCAAAAGGACACCTTCCACCCTTGCTGTTGTCGACTGGTCGGACAATGCAAATCTGCGTGTTTACTTGTCAGGTCGTGATTGATTTTTATGTTTGTTCAGCAGTAGATGGTAGACTGTGATATCGTCAGAACGAGACGACAAGCTGTTACTTGAATTGGAGTACATCACTCAGAAATGTTGACAACATGAATATAAATGCGTTTACCACGACATGTATTGTGTCATCAAAAAGACATAGTTTACAACCAAGAGATCATGAGAAAAGTTTCAACTGACATGATAAAATTATTCACACTACTTCATGACGTACATCTTCAAATGATGACAGATGTGACATAAATGTTATACTGGGAAATACAATCACTGCAAATACACAGAATGGATAATACACTTCATAATAATGCCAACAAAGCGGTCATCGTCGATTTTCCATTGTATTAATATCTTCCTTCCCTTACAACAGGACGTCGATCAGTAGCGTCACTATCTCTCCTTTCACCAACTTGGATAAGAACGTCTCTCGCTTATAAATATGAGTGAGTGAGTGAGTATGGTTTTACGCCGCTTTTAGCAATATTCCAGCAATATCACAGCGGGGGACACCAGAAATGGGCTTCACACATTGTACCCATGTCGGGATTCGAACCCGGGTCTTCGGCGTGACGAGCGAACGCTTTAACCACTAGGCTACCCGACCGTCCCTTTATAAATATGAAATAACAAGGAAATATCTAAATGACTCATCAGAAGGAGTGTTTGGTATGTATCTACATACATGATTGCGGATTCGTATCAGCGAGCCCGCGATATAACGTTTGGTTGTTTGTTTATTTAACGTCGCACTCAGGAGTATTCCAGCTATATGACAGCGGACCACACAATCCAGGGATTGACATCATGAGCATCGATCCACGCAACTGGAATACGATTATGCATCAACCAGTCAGCGAGCCAGAACACCCGATCACTGGTCACTTCTTACGACAAGCACAGTCGCCTTTTACGGCAAGCGTGGGTTGCTGAAGACCTATTCTCACCGGGATCTTCAAGGGTGCCACAAAATAATGTCGAGTCGAATTTGGCTTATAAATAGACTTTCAGTTGGAAAGATGTTATTCTGAACATTAAGACGAAGAGGGCAGTCATCATGCTACCAGGCGTTCCCAGTTGTATTTTTACACCGTTGGCAACAAAACGAGTCGAGTACTGATGATACCGTTTCTTGTTTTAATCATGCCAGATTGGACGGTTATCAGCGTTGTGTCATTTGAACTCAACACAAAGCTATCGTAGCAAATGGGTTTGGGGTATTTGTCGTTCTTGAGTGGAAATGATAAATGGTTGTGACAGAACACTTTTTCAGATACTCTCTTTTAAATATTAAAGGCGTGCTTGTGATATATGAACACAAACATCAGACATGTATTTATAATGTTACAATGAGATAATTTATTTCACGATTTCCAAAGCGTTCACACTATCACAGTCAAAGACAATAAGTCAAGGATAGAGGAGCATACAGTGGATCTTAATGGTGCAAACTTTTCCTGACAGTTTCATAAACACAATCAACCCTTCGAGTGTGAATATTTACATAGAACAATATATATAAGTAAAAATATATTTAAAGTGGAGCAAGTCATAAAATAATAATAACGTTGACAGGATGCATATCTGTTAATTGAAAACATTTTTGTGGGGCCCAAACTCGAACAAAGTAATCTATTTCTTTTTAGTTCCTTTTTTTCTATAACTCACAAATACCCAGAAATAAGTTAAGCATCAACCTTCCTTTGTTTTCCGCCGTGAATAGCTGGAAAATTGCTGATGCGGGGTTAAACAATATTCGTTAACTCATTCCTTTGTTTTCACATATTCCGAACGTCCATGTATCTGTTGGACATATGTATACGTTCATGAATGTCTGATATATCACCGACACCTGCTGGAAAAGTGGAACAAGAACACTTTATGTTTCTCCAAATTGCCGCAAACACTGAATATTATGTCATACAAAGAAGCAAAGGAAGCAATAGAAAGGGTAGTCACATAGCTGAATTACAACGGAACAGTTACACATTTCATTACATAATTGATATCAGCTTCTGAGTTCCAATATGAGAATGTCGCTTTCTAAATAAAGATTACATGTGTTCGGTCAGAAAATTAAATTGATGATTTTAATGGAAACATATATATTAACGGGAAAACTAACTTCTTCATATAAAGTGGTGTAAATATTATTTTACTGAAAATAATAACATAATATTTAGTCATTTTTGTCATCAATGTTTTATCTTACAAATTCATTGACAAAACTAATACCTGGTAGCAACAGATATGGTATTACTACTCAATTGACAATGTCAATATTGGATGTGACTGCAATTTGCTTTGATACAGGCGAGCCAGCGGCGGCGCATTGAGGACACCGAATGATTGAAAACAACTAAGCTAGCATTACCGATTAGGTCCTGTCATTGGCGCCGTTCAATCTGTCATAGGCGCCGTTCAATCTGTCATAGGCGCCGTTCAATCTGTCATAGGCGTCGTTCAATCTGTCATAGGCGTCGTTCAATCTGTCATAGGCGCCGTTCAATCTGTCATAGGCGCCGTTCACTCTGTCATAGGCGCCGTTCAATCTGTCATAGGCGCCGTTCAATCTGGCATAGGCGCCGTTCAATCTGTCATAGGCGCCGTTCAATCTGTCTTATCTGTCAATCTTATCACAGACATGTTCTCTGGGGGTGAGCACTGGAGAAACAGCCGGCCATGGGAGTTCAGCAATGTAAAACTGCCTTTAAAAGTCTGTTACAACCATGTCGGCGGGCATTATCCTGCTGTAACGTGAAGTTACGTCCCTGCATTTGCACAGAGGGTAGAACGTACGTCATTCAAATTGCCATTAACAATGATGAGTTGCGATGCCACCCCATACCATGACACTACACCACAAACTGACGACGCTGCTGAGTAACGCATGCGTCGCTAAGACCTTCTTTGGGACGCATGTAGACCCTTGCACGACAATCAGAGCAATCCAGATGAAACCTGGAATCATCTGTGTCGGCACCAAGCTAGGCGTCCCAGAAGATGACATGAAAGCAAAATTGGGCGTTGGGGCCGGATATTGTGCTCCCTAAACTGGTTTCGTACTGTTCTGCAATTGGTCACAACTCAGGAATTATCCGAGCTGTAATTGTTGCAGTTTGGTATCGATTCCGTAGATGCACCAACCGAATATGGTTGTCTTGTTGACGTGACGTCACACATGGACTACCGGCTCCAATGAGATTTTATTGCGTTCGTTGAACATTAAAATGTCTTGCGGCACCCCTATTTGAAGCATATCCACGGTGAGTACACGTTGATGTTCAGCAAGTCGTTGCATTACTTAAGCGTTATTTACGGATAAACATTATATGGTCTTTATGAGCATTTGACAGATAAACAAGCATGGTGTGTTGTTTGCATTACAAAACCACGTGTGTGAGTATTATGCTCCCAACATCACGCAAACTTCCAAATTATGCGCCGTGCATGCACATGCAAACTTTGAATCGCGACCTCAAAATCGGGATGTCTTCATGAATATGTATTGAAAGATGCATTTTTTAATTTCAGAATATTCTTTTAACTTTATATTGAGCATAGTTTCTCTTGTCAGCTAGTGTAGTATAGTTGGCGGTGATTGGCTTTTTTCACGTGTATTTTTTGCTGGACGTTGTTACATTTTCTAACAAATGGTATGCCTTATGTATGTAACGGGTTTCAAAATGAAATATTGTGTATTATATGTAATCTATTGAAGGCTAGTCCTTCATTTCATCATACCTGAGGGTCGGTGGTGTAGCCTAGTGGTTAAAGCCTTCGATCGTGACGGCAGTCCCCGGGTTCGCTTCGCCACCCACATTTGTACAATGTGTGAAGCCTATCTCGGGGGTCCCCGCCGTGATATTGCTAAAATATTGATAAAAGCGGCGTAAAACCGTACTCAGTCACCCATTCACTTATATCTAAAAACCTACATTTCATTATCGATCCTTGACAAATCACGAAATATTGTTGTTCCTTGACAGCAAAACAATTACTCAAGGATTTTCGGGCGCCAAAAATTGAGAAATTGTGTGCTTGGCGCGACCGATGGGATGCACAAAAAGTATAGCTGTTGAAATCATTAAAAGGACTTCACGTGTGACCATAATACCATGCACATGCCAGTTTAGTTTTAATGTCTGCTTTTAAGCATGAAAACCAAATATGTTAAATCGAGGTAAATGCTTAGATTACTATGTAAAACTACTCAATAATCAGAAAGGCGGTATAAACGTGTAACCATATTGTTATGCCAAAGTAGAGTTAAACTCACAGTTCGCACAAAAAAGGAAGCATACTTTCACATGTATAATCATTCCATGTATAACCAAACACTCCATTTCGAAGCTTCACACAGTCTTCTTTAGAACCATCGTTAGACATGTGAGTGGGCTCGAATATGTCCCACTTTGTGTAGAGAAGAGGGGATCCATCACTCCAGAAATATGTATCATTGTCATGGGTGTCTCGTAATCCGATCCAAGGTCCATCTGAAATGTATCATGCTATTTCACAATCTTCATCACACACATACACATGCACGCGCGTGTAAACAACATTATCGGGGTCTGACGTTTTAGCGTCACACGATTTACCCTTTATCCTGTGTGCTGTACTTCAGGTTCAAGGACTGTGAGACAGAGTAGATGTGACGCAACAACGACAGCGCAGTTATTGTTGTATTTTCATTACTTGGTTTACGGATTCGCCGACCAAGAATGTGGAACAACATCCAGCTTATTTTTTTATACGCCGAGCCTAATAAGCTAAGGGTTTCTAACGAGATGCAATGTTTTACATTCCTGTCACATTCCACCGTAATTTCGAAGCAAACATTTTTTTTAAACAAATATATCCGGTAAGAACATTGTTGGGTAATATTTGATTGTAATCTTATTTTAAAACGGACAAATTGTTTTGAGAGAATTTCCAGTAAAACAACAAACGGCGTAGACGCTGCAGTGTGGACTCGGACTCGGGCTCGAATAGATCCCTAACACTTTGAAGATTGTCGTAAGACGACTAAATTAGTGTGGTCGGGCTTTCGTGATTGTGTGACATCGTTTTCCGTCGGCAAGGAGGTTGCTCATAATATTAAACAATGATTTTTGTCTGTCTCAAACTCGATTATGTCTTTATAGTAAGTAACACCGCAAAAAACATCTGAAAATGTGCCATTGTGAAGTCCAAAAACATGACCAAATATGTCTTAAATCGCTTAAAGTTTGAATCCTGTTGCCAATGAGTATGTCAATGGTGGTATAAAATACTTTGGATGAATTTAATCTCCAGACCAATAAGAACAAATCGAAACAAAACTCTTTCCTCGGCGAACATCTCCAATTTCCCCTCAGTCAAATAATGAATCATCCTTACCCTGAAACTTGTGATATTTAACATGATAATGTCGCTGACATCATGATGGCCAAACTATCCGGGATTCGACTTTGTCATTTCGTGAGTGAAATAACATAAACCGAGAGAGAATATTTTGACAGGTAGAAACGCAATGATAGAATACTTTACGGGTACTGGTCTTATGGTCCGAGCACCACAACTCAATGACAATGCAGCCTTGCACATCTTAAAAATTCAGATTCGCTGAGGTTGTGAACATTGGTGTGTCAGAATCATTTTCAGCCACAATACTGACTCAGTCGTACAAGGTGCCGTAGATTGCTGAACGTAGTAGGGTCTCTTAAGCATACCAGGATCCTATTATCGTGGCTCGAATCTGATAAAGATCCTTGATTGTTCTCACCATATCCGTGCCGTAGGTCCACCAGAGTGGGAAATAAAAGCGACAAAACCATTTCTATATTCATAACTTTTGAAGTACAATCGAGCATGCTCTTCCCACCAAGACTTTAAAGAGCGTCATACAACTCTTGCTCCGAAGATGTTTGATCAAGGTTACAACATTCAAGGCCTCAGTGAAGCTCTCTAAAGGTTTGAGCTACACATGTGGAGAACATTTAAAATTTTGACGGATCAGTGACGCGTGACACCGGTAGGGCAGGATACGCTCACCTTTTCGCGAACACCTGTTATCATCACTATTTCATAGTAATTCATAAGCACATATTTCTTCCAATTATGGAAAGGGTTGTCGCTTTTATTGCACACGGTCGGTAATTATCTAGTCACCACCTGTCCTGTTTGTTTTCCAATCAAACTACACGTGAAAATTATCTCCATTCCGTTTGGTTATTGTTGAAAATGTCCTCAGAAATTTCATATTACGAGTATCACTGTCTCGTTTTGTGTTGCCATGCGCCGCACTTTCAGAGAGATTAAAAATCTACAAACTCAAATTGTTATCTTGATTGGCTTAAACGGATGTTATCAAACGTGTTTATCCTCAATTAGAGAGTATTTAGATTTATTTCTCTATACGCGCTTTGGGCGATAAAATACAAAATTTATGATAGTTTTGCCTACCGGACAATCCATGAATCCTTTCAATGACCTTCTGTTTTCCAGAAGCATCGATCTTGGCAAGTGAGCCACCATCAACGCTGCACCTTTCCAAAGCTTTGGACCAAGACATCTTTGTATGGTACAGTTTGAAGAACAGCTTTTCCTGACCAAAGTGTACTTTCAAGTACCCTTTTGGTCTAACTAACATGAAGGAAAGAAAGCATTACTTTTCCAATGTGGTATAGTTGTACACGTCAGTAAAAAGGTGCAATAGTTGTATCATTTTAGGCTATTTCTAATATTCCCCAACCCTTTTCTTTCCTATCAGAGTTATCCCTCTTGTCCTGTGTCATCTCTGCATTCACTTGATTCCCCTACCTCTTCACTACATCCGTTTCCTACAGGACATGTTAACCTTACATTAGCTTGCCCCTTCTCGTGGCTATTTAGATCACCTCCTCAAACCTAACTTCCTAATCACTTCTACCACATGTTTTTATCAATGATCTTCACTCTACTTCACACTACCTCGTGCACTTTGCCCTTCTCCCAAACTCGCCAAACAACCCATTGTACACCTCCAGTATCAAATAACTCCCATGTCAAACCATCTTATGTCTGATAGTTCTAAGACGTTCCAGGGTGTAAAGTATATGAGAAGTGTATATAAAATCATGTCTTGTAATTCCACAACATATACTTAATGTCTAAGATCACATTGTTATTTTCTATTGTAATAATTTATTGTAACAATGGACAATGATACTGACATCATATTACCTACCTTTAGTCTTCGATGTTTTTGTGGTACGATTAAAACACATCAGGTTGACCTGACGACGAGTCTTGCAGATCAATTCAAGTTCAAGAAGTTGTTCGCAAGCAGCGTTCCCTGCAGTGATGAACTCTGAATCATTTGAGTGCAAGCATTCGAGTCAGTGCAGTGGGAAAAACAGGACCAAGACGCTTATTTATAGGTGCTGGAAATATGGAAATCATATTTATTGGAATTGGTACATAGGAATATGTTCTAATAACTTTGTATGTTATAGACGTCTCAATCAGGCCATCTACCTACATTGTGATTTATCAAAAGAAAGAATTCCTATTCGACTGAATTGTAAAGGATACTAAAACCGTTCCAAAATTATATAAAGTCTCCAAAAAGAAGGTTGATGTGGAGGCGTTTAAAGATGTATGTCATAAAACAAAGCTAAATCCCCGCGGGGATCCCATGTTAGAATATGATCCCATCGACCTATAGTACGCACTGTTCTTTTCGTTGGATGAGCCTAAACTCAATTGGTTGTCAGACTTGGTGACTCTGTGATTGTGCGTCACCGTACGCCGAGGGTTTGTTTGATTGTTTGTTTGTTTAAAGCCGAACTCCGCAATAACTTCCAGCTATAATATATGACGGCGGTATGTAACTAATCGAGTATGAACCAGACAATCCGATGATTGTAAACATGAGCATCGATCTTCGCATTTGGGATACGATGACATACATCAACCAAGTAAGCAAACCTGACCACCCGATCCCGTTAATCGCCTCTTACGACCAGCATGGGTTGCAGAAGGTCAATTCTAATCTTCACGGGACTCTATGTGATTGATGTTTGTATTGAAGTATATCATTAATCCCATGTTCTTGACGAAACATGTTTCAGCTATATAATGATGTTAAAAAAATCCAAAATGGATTCTTTTAGATGACTGCAGTCTATAGCTTCAATAAAAAAATCCTTGAAATATATTTTAATAAAAGAGGAAATGGAAGACGGAATGTGCAATTCTGCAAAAAGGATTCGTCACTTTGTAAAGAAAGAGTCTTTACGAGAACAAACAAATTGAGCTCCGCAATATACCAATGCCGATGGAACTGCTTCAGAACAATTTACATTTACAAATCGATAGTTAAGCATTAAAAAAACCAATTTCTTCTTCAATTGTGAAAATAAATAACCAGATGGTGAACTCACCGAGAGAAGCCAGCTCAAGAACATCAAGCAGCACCAACAGTCCACACAGAGCAAAATTCATCACGACTGCCAGATGTGAAACCGCCTAACTGAGACTCAGAAGCCCAGCAGAAAAGGGAGAAATCGATTCCGTCGAGACGTGATACTGAGGTAGGAGTTATATTTACATTTCACTATCTATCACTTGAATGCCTCAAGACCTGGTATGCGTCATGTATGAATTGAGTGAGTTTGTTAAAAATTCTTCTGACGATCGATCATAACATTTATGTTTCATGATCCCTACTTTGGTTGGAGAGTATAAAAACTTACCCAGGCACTTTTTCCTGGTATCAATTGAGTCTGTGACAGCAATTAATAGTATTTCATATGATATGATTTGGTATTTCGGTTCGTTTGCATGATCATGAACACAATTACTCACACAAAGCTGTCATTTGAACTCGTTGATGTTGTTAGGTCAAGAATGGGCATCGAACTACGATGTAAGTACAGGCATTTGAAGTATTCAATTCTTCGATAGGGAATCGAGATAGTAGTGCACGGGCATGACTGCTTATGTGCATCACACGTTCAGGGAGGGATTGCACGGGCCACGGGCAATGTTTTGGGTGTATTGGGCGTTAGATTTGAACACGAGAAAGGCGACAAACCAAAGAATTTTGAATTGGGCGAATCTCACGTCCCACGAACATATGAATCTGGTACACAGATCTGTGTCCTCGTATGTTTTGATAAGCTACGGAATAAGAAAGGTCATTGTAAGCTAAGAACCATTGTGAGTCGTATGAACAATGGTTCCTAACACACCATGTGCATGTTCACACTGGCTGGCGCAACCGTTGGTATGCTATCTGTAACCAGAGACACATTATAGAGACTCCGAGTTAGCCAGTCCTTGTTTTATCTCCTGAATGCCGTGCGCCAGGCAGGTTGACACCAATTATCATCTTCTAACGACCTTCCGAGCTCGGGGCAGAAGCTCTGTCCTCTAAATCACAAAGGCAGTTTCACTTCACCGATGTATCTAAAATTGAAAGGTAACCTTTAAACGGGGCAAAAAGCTTACTATGTATGGGCATAAATCGAACGAGTGTATACAATGTCGGAAACAAAAGCCATAGGCCTTTATTATTCATAACTTACAAAATGCCAGCTAGTCCGTACGCTGTACTGCAGGGTTAGCGGAAGTGTGGAATTATTATAAATTCATTATCATATACTTAGTATTCGAAATAGGATAGGGGAAGGACAATTGGGCAAAAGGCGTGAGGTATTAAATGTTTAAATTAGCGGGGTTTAATCTCCAGGTAACCTTGCTGAACATTGAAAACACAGTATGTTTATCTCCATTCTACCATGACTAAATAAAACACGAAATCTTTGGTGCTGGAAAAATATATTGAGTGAAGCGGCATGCATGTGTTTTGAACAGCCTTTAAACAAAATATGGTGCTCTATGTGCTCAGGCAGTTTATTTCAGGCATTGACAGCATATAAGCACGGCAACTTGGAAAGCTAAAATGAGGTGGACACTCCTGGAGAAAACTAAGTAAGCTTTGCAAAGCTTTCGTTCTACTCCGCACATGACATTATGACGTCATGTCGCTCATTGTGACGCAGGAGATATGACGTCACAGTCGTATATAGAAAAGCGCTTACTTCCAAGCTCTCTGTTGTCCCCAAAACGTATTATACATTCTCTTTGTTGATTTCTGTCGTGTTTCCTTCACGAAATGTATTGCCACACATCCTTTGAATTTTGTAGTCACCGCAACTTTACATTAAGCAACATATAATTGTAGATATAAATATTTAAATACGCCTACCGACAATGACTGAAAAATGTACTATTCAAGGAAAAGTAGTTTTGGCGGTGATTCGGCCGTCAAACCAGGTGTTTCAATCAGAGGGGGTTTATTGTGATTTAATAGCATCTGATTGACCAATCAGACTCGCGTAATTTCCAAATTCATGGTAGAATGCCATTTAACCGTGCACCAATTACATTTGTTTCGTCATCCATACCGATAAGGAAGTGATTGTACGATCCATTAAGTTCTCACTGTTCTGCACAGATATACCATTCAGATTATTACATTCTTCTTGGAATTAAAACAGGTTACAAATGAAACAAATATCTATAAAAGTACAGACACCACCAGGAAGTTATTAGAAACCAATAAAATCATTGGAATCAATGGTATAAATATATCAGTTAAAATGCATTCAATACAATACAATTGCACGTGCTCTATCACAATTGCACAGGTCGCATAAACACACGCACACGCGCGCGTGGAGATACCAAAGTAGGTGAATACACACGTGACTCGGCCAACAGGAGTATCCCAGTGTATAGTTACAGTATTAAGGTAAGATTAGCATGATAAACATCAGACATATTTAATTACTATTCAGTAACCTTTCCACTTATAGGGCATAGACAGTTCTTGGAATTGAGTTCCTGGGAATCACCAAACGAAACACCAAATAAGGAGCTGTTGTCAAGAGTCACGAGAAATGGGATACTTTATCTTGAACGGGAAAGGTTATCATTCCATATAGTTCCAATGGTAAACGTGTGAAATTGTCTCCTTGTATGAAAATCAAATTTATTATTTATCGTTTTTCTCTGTATTTTCAATCACCTAATTCATAAACCTTACACAGAACTATGTCATCAAGATGTACAGGTTTTACCGATATTAGCGAGTGCTCGTGTACTTTGCGTTGAACTCGAATGCATCCCACCAGAACCCGAGTCTACAAACTAATTAACCACGAAAAGCCTTCAGTCTGGAGCAACAGGTGCTGTAAATCATTTTCGAATATCCCCCAACTTTCTGTGAGAGTACATATCGGATTGAATATATTTTATCAGATATACCCATGCAGAAAGGTCATGAAAGAAGCGAACGTAAAGTATGTGACAAAAAATTCGCCTTTGCAGCCGACTGAGGGTTGGGGCTGTAGGAGCTTACTGTAAAATATATATATAAACCCACGTTGTTAACTGACAAAACCATGACCGGAAGTACTATACACTATGTTACTTAGTCTGCTAGAACCATGGACAAGGCCTACTCCTGAAGATAAGAATAGAAGCGACGGAAGCTCACATTTTAAATAACAGTTACATGTGATCAAACGGGTTTATGTCTCTGAGAGGCAATTAGAGAATAATATAACAGTTATGGGTGTATGTGTATCTGTTATCTAGTAAAAACAAAACATGGTTAAGATAAGAAAAATACATTAAAAATTGACATTCATTGAGTGGAAGTGGCATGGGATAAGCTGTACTGGATCACGTTGTTATCTTAAGGTGTAAATTTGGCAGACAAACAGGCAGATAGTTTATTAAAGTCTTACCTTAATGCGCGATGGCGAGACAGCATATGATTAATGGTTTAGGCAACGTTGAATGTTTTATTTGACATTATAACTCCGTTTTTCTGTACATTAATTGGAAGAGAATATTTGTAAAATAATCAATATATTCCAGATTAGAAGATGGCATGCAGAAACCTCAGTGAGCGATAACAATGAGTGAATTATCACCCTTGCGTGTGATATACTAGACAAACATCTAGTCTCTGAATTGAACATATCTTAAAGAAAATAAGTTGTTAAATTATCTCAATACAATTTCTTCAATTTCAGATACTGATACCTTACATTATAGACATACATTATAGACTTACATGGGCTGTATTGGATATATTTGTATCAGGATCTGTATGACAGTGACAATATTCGCCTTAAAAACTGCCGTTTAGCGCATGCGAATCAAGGTCAGATAAACATGTTAAACTTTCTTATAAACCCTATACTTAAAGTCTTTGAATAGCATTTAGAAGTGATACACATAAGGAAGAGAAGTTATTGATGTCAACCGTTTTATTATTAGGAACACAACGTTTAGGAATATATGCTTACTCCTTCATCGGGGGGAAATGCTATGATCATCATCATCGGTTGGGGAGTTATCGTCCATTTCTGGGGATCCAATTTCAAGGACGGGGCCGGGAGGTCTAAGTCACTATAAATTAGGGCTGGTACGAGTCCAAATTTACTACCCGGGTACCCACCCCCCTATTACCCGACCCTACCTGGGTACCCACTGTAGGTCTCAGGAGATGTCTTAAAATGTCCGATTGGGAACATTTTTAGTATAGCCCTGGCAAAACGTATTAGGATACATGTATTACACGATCTGGTCATTCATACACTGAAGTTGAATTAAGTTGTATCTTTAAATTTATTCAACCATCAGAAGGATACAGATGGTTGCATAGTGAGGAAGAAATGCGAACATTAGTGACTTGTAGAGTAACCATAGAGTTCTAGATAATTAATTGTCATTAAACAATATATCACGTGACTAACCAGGGCTCCGGGTAGTCCTGTGGGTACCCGGGTCCTACTCAGTACCCACCCGACCCGAGTACCAAAGTTACCCGTCCCAGCCCTATTATAAATATAAAAAATAGTAAATAATTCTAAATACCTGTCCCAAATAAAGGTAACTGAAGGTATAAACTATGAAATAAATACAAACAGAATTAACAAAGTGGGAAAATATGGTGTTCGGAAGAATATATACATCTGGTAAAACAAAATTAATAAGTTATATTATAAACCTCCGGTGACGTCATCCGATTGTTCTCCAGTCGGGTTAAATCTCATAAACAGGGATGTTGTATTGTCCCATGAATTTTATAGGATATTCAAGTCATATTTGTTATATAATGTGTTATAATATCCCATGGATTTTATATAATGTCCTGGGTATTTTATTAATATAACTTCCGTTCAGATTGTAACATGTAATGAAATGTAAAATCAAATGACAAATGTTTTCTTTATATTCCCGAGGATCGAACACGCAACCTTCATATATGTAGCCCAGGGGATAAATAAGTTAAAATGAGGTTAGCAAAGTGGATAAGAGATAGTTAGAAATTTGGAATAATGGGAAATGTAAAACATAGGTAGAGGTTAAATAATGGAAACAGTTAAGCTGATTTTATGAGAAAGTCTAGTCGTAAAAAAGAAAGAAAAAGGAGTTAAACTTTAAAGGTGATTTTATAAAAGATGGGCCAGTTAGGCGGAGGAGGCGGTAAGGTTGGCGGTGGTGGCGAGGGGCGGTGGGTGAATGGCCTTGTTCTGAATGGCTGTTGGCTGGAATTGGTACGTTGGGGGCTTGGGACAGTGAGATACTTGCGTACTGGCGGTCCCAGTCTGTGACGACGGTGAACTTCTTTATAAAATTAGCTGCTGTATTGCTGATGAATTGAGGTGAAGAGGTGAGTCCGTCCTCTTTGGCGGTGAGTCGGGACGAGTTTAGATCTTTTAAAGCTCTTGATTCCGTGCTCGAAACGTTCATTTCC